AGAACATTAAGTTCTTTGAGAGAGCGAGGAAGGCACAGACTTTTATGTTTTATGGACCAGAAAGGCCTTCAGTGTCCACAGAATGCAACATCTGAGTCATTTGTTGAAATAGGATGGACAGGAATTTGCACAAGGTCAGATTCATGAAACTTCCATGGTCAGACAAAAAAAAACCATAAACAGCACAGCAGAAGATCAAAAGGAAAACAATTTATATTTTGTTACAGAGGCAAAGTTACATTTTTTTTTAGTTACATAAAATGGTAAGTCATGACAGTGGAAACCAGAGCCTAAAAAATATTTATTTTGAGTTTGCTAAAGAAATATTTATATGCTTCTCTTTTATAACTCAAGCGAGTCCTTAACTATCCTGGAGTGGAATTATTGCATCCATAAATCTCTATTTTCATTCCCAGGAAAATGTAATTCTAAGCTGCAGCACACTTGGGGCTGTGGTGGTACTGCAGGTGAACAGTTAAAGCTTATGTGCATTAAAGCTTCACCACTGCACTTCAGATTAAATGGTTTCCCTTTCAAATTTGACCACATGTTTTAATGAGCACTCAAATTTAAGTTCAAGCCATATTCAGTCTGGGATTGACTGCCCTACAGAAACGGTTACTTTAAACACTAGTTGAGCATGAGAGGCCCAAAACTTAACTGCCCAACCTTGCAAGACCCAGTCCTTTATGTTTGAGTTACCAAGACAAGTCAGTCCAAACACTTCAAAGTCAGAATATTCAGTTTTATTTAATACACCAGCAGCACAATCTTCAGACGCCAGCCTTAATCTGGTTGTTCAGTGGTAGAAGTTTGCCCAGGTGGGTCCCCACCGTCAGTCCAAACTCCTTGGCAGCATGTTTCTCAGAGACCTCAGGTTTCAGCTGGAAGCCCTTCTCCCTGTCAAAGCAGTCCATAGGAGCGAAGTAGAGTGGCTGTTCTGCCTCCACTACTTGCAGCCGTTTGCGCCAGCCCTCCAGCATGGTGCCACGTGCCTCAGTGGGAATGTGGGACAGAGCCCAGAAGATCTGAGGGCCCAGAACCTGAAAGCCACAGTAGTGCAGGATGCCATTCTGCAGAGAGAAAGAGAGTCCAGTTAATCACTGTGTGGCAACATCTGGCTCAATGCTTAGCTTCTTTAAGCAGTACCTGCAGAGGCCACAGTGTTACATTTATGTCTCCGTTGATGCCGTTTGCACTGAACATTGACTCATGAGACCCTGTGGTGAAGGACAGCATGGCTTTCGTCTCCTGCACAGAGAGTAAGCAAATATACTTTTTTTTTTCCTCAATCCCATAACCTTGACTTGTACTGAAAACTCTTATTTGAAGCCTTACCTTGAAGATTCCCTGACTGCATCGCTTCTCCTGTGAGTAAGCATAACCCAGTGTGAGCACCCGGTCCATCCAGCCCTTCATGATGGCAGGAACAGTGAACCAGTACATCGGAAACTGTAAAAAAAACATTATTTAAAGTTAGTTTAATGCTAAAGGGCTTGACTTAAAATGTATTACTGGCAGTCAGCTTTATAGACCTGAATGATGATGAGGTTGGCCTCAGTGAGTTCGCGTTGCTCCCCAGTGATGTCATCAGACAGTTTCCCAGCCTCCCAGGCCAGTTTGGTCTCCTCTGCATAGCGGAAGTGATCTGCATTCTTTACTTCTCCTGCAGAGACAATACAGTTATTTCCAGTCACTCCAAAAGAACAATCAAGTCGAATTTTAAAGCACGATAGAAAAAAAAAGGTTTAATACCAATGATGTCCTGGGTAGTGACAGTGGCTTCAAACTTCAAAGCATACAGTTCAGACACTTCCACTGTCCAGCCCTGAGCACTTAATATTTCCACAGCAACTTCTTTGGCCGCAGCATTGAAGGAGCAGGAGCTCTGGTGGGCACACAATGAGAACTTTATTGACTGCTAAACCCAAGACAGAAAAGGTTTGAATTAACAAAAAGTTGGAGCACTAAGCAAGCATTCGTAACACACACACTCAGAATCACTGAAAATACAAGAACAAAGGGAAAAGAAAAACTCTCCCATTCTGGAGAAAAGATGTCAACTGTGGCTGATGAGCATTACTATAATCTGGCCCATAGATGGAAATAGTCCCTCATGCTGAACTAAGCTGACACTGCTGTTTTTATACACCTGGGAGGGCGGGGCTTGCTCTCTCTCACAGCTGCTGTCAATCAGCAATCAATGTCATCACCCAGTCAGGTCACAATGGAGGATCTTCTCAGGACTCTCAGCAACAGATCCACATATCTGTCACTCAAACTTCATTGGTTTTCAACCCAGAAGTGGAACTTATAAAACACAAAAAAGCCTAGAAGATGCTAGGTATACCAAAATACACAAAGCTGCAGATTTATATGAAATATGTTCAAGCAGATCCTGCAGATCTTCTGCTTCATATTTAGTTTATTTGTGATTGTTCTTGTGTTTAAAACCGTACTTAAAGTTCTCAAGGGGCGCTGGTGGTGCAGTGGTTAGTGCATGCACCCCAAGTATGGAGGCTGTAGTCTTCCAAGCGGGCAACCCAGGGTCAAGTCCTGCCTGTGGCTCCTTTCCTGCATGTCATTCCCCACTCTCTCTCTCTTATTTCCTTTTTTTTAAAATGTATTTTTATTGATATAATTCAAAAGCTATGTTCCCAAGCCTGCCTGTAGTCCCCCTCCACCCACACATGTTCCCAGTTTCCTACATACATATATCCACACAAACCTAAATACATACAAAATAATAAATAAAATATCAAACATCAACAACAATGTTCCACATTTAAAGAGCGATTGTTTTACCTGTATACATTTTTAGTTTATAAAATACAGTATTTTATTCTTTCCCTTATCCTTTCCGTTTAAAGCCACAAAAACACCAAAAATAATTATTTGGAAAAAAAAAAAGTTCTTAAAACTATTTTCAATAAGAGCAGGTAGTTCAACAGGTCAGAAAAAGGAGGAAGCATGCATTAAGGCTGAATGTTGTTTCCCCATCCTGGACTAACCAGAAAGAGACTTTTTTAGGTCTGCACTGTAACCTAGTTTGTCTCTGCGTACAAGATGTTCAAATGTTATACTCCGCTCCTCTAACTGTCTTCAGACCACATGAAGCACATGTGGTCTGATCCTCTCACTCTACAGTTACTGCTCTCCAGCTCTGTTTTCCTTTACTTTACTTTCCTCTGAAGAAACCATCGCTTGCGGTCGTAGCCCACTCACGCATACTGCCCTGTAAAAAAAAAAAAAAAAAGTGAAGACTCAGCAGTGGACATCAAAGGCATCCCAGACGTGTGCTGGCACAATGTCACGTCTGTACATCCACTAAGGAGGAGGAGGGGGGATTTAAAGAGGAAATCCTAATTTCATGCATACTAATACGCCACATGAGAGAGACATATGGAGACCCTTTGTCATCTCATGGTCTCTCCTTTTTCTCTCTTATTAAATATGAGTTGTAGGAACCGGTAGGAGCATTATTTGTAAAACCACAGCTTGTGATCTTCAAATTTAAAATGATGAGGTCCTCTTGTATTTATGAGGCCTTGGTCTTTTCATCTCTGTGTCCTCTCTGTTTTTTTTTTACTCCATTACGTCGCTCATCATACCGAGCCCGTGGCTGTGTTCCCTCTGTTGTGACAGGAAAGGATCATATGTTTGGCTGGGAGCTATGTTTTCATGATTTGTGATGTATTGAGCTACATGATCACACACTGATTTGATCCCACACTGTGTGATGTACTACTCTTTAAGTGCATTTCATACTGCCTGCTACACATGTGTGCAGCTGCAGGCTCTCAGCACTGTTTACATTTCCTATAAAGGCGACATGTGCAGCACACCTGTAGGAGCTGATTCACACAAAACCACAATGTAATGAAAGAGTTCTTATAGGAGCATTAAAACGGTGCATATGCACAGATGCAAGGCTGTGCTTTTCTGTTAGATGAATGCTGAATCACTGTGTGAAATGTAGCCTACAGTGCCATCATGTGGTCAAAACAGGAAAGTGCAGGGATTTTCCTTTTAAGTTCTTATGCTGAGTTTACTTTTAAAGAAGTTGCTACAGTGTTCAGATGCTTACATTAAAAAAAATGAAAGTGTAGACTTTTTTTTACTTTCACATTTTTATATCACTGAATTTAACTAGAAAACACGTTTTAATCCGTGGCATGACTGTTCCTTTAACCTATGTTTGAGGGGACTGTTTTGCTTTATTGAGAGTCTACAGTGTGTCCAGTAAGGACAAACCCTTAAAAAGACAAGTGTGGACTTGAAAATAAATATAACTAGCTGAAGAACAGTTTCAGTCGTCTACAGTTTGCAGTTTTTCTAATGTCTTTGAAAACGGGTGTCACTGTGGATCTGGTGAAACTTTGGCCTTTTCATCTTCAGCACAAACAAAGTACTGAAGTTCTACAAGGTTCTACATTTCACTTAGCAGACGCTTTTATCCAAAGCGGCGTACATCAGAGAGTAAGAACAACACAAGCAAGGATCTAGAGAAAAGGGAACAATGTGAGTAAGAGCAAACGATCAGCTTTGAGTCTGATTGGACACACAGGTGCTGACAGGAAGTGACCAGAGGCAAAGCACAACATTGAGGGCAGTTCTTGAGAGCTCTAATCAGTATAGAAACCATCTTATAAGTCGTCATTATCAAACAAAAACCATCGTCATTACCATCATCATCATCAATAATATGGAGACCATCATCATTAAGTTAGTAGGTATTCATGAAAGAGCTGGCTCTTTAGCTTTTTCTTAAAGGTGCAGAGGGACTCTGCAGATCACATGGAGTTTGGAAGTTCATTCCACCACCGGGGGGCGACAGAGGAGAAGAGTCTAGTCAGCGTCTTAGGACCCTGTTGTGAAGGTTGGATCAGACGCCTTTCATTGGCAGAGCGTAGTGGGGGGGGGGGTAGACCTGGATCAGAGAGTTAAAGTAAGGAGGAGACGTTTCTGTGTCTGTTTTGTAATCGAGCAGCAGAGTTTTAAATTTGATGCGAGCAGTAACTGGGAGCCGGTGTAAGGAGGTGAACAGAGGAGTGACATGTGCTTACTCCGCTCTTTGGCCTCTTCATTTTCAGCACAAACAAACTACTGAAGTGGAGTGTGTATGATTGTATTGTTGACAGCTGTTGTGTATGTGAGTGCTAATGGGGATCCTAATAAAGAAAAAAGAAAGAAAGAAGAACAGCTGATATGTTGGATGCAAGGCAGACTGTGAATGACAAGAGGTCAAAATAGGGGCGGTGTCTTTTTAGCGTCCGTATTCTACCTTTAAAAAAATATATATATATATATGGCAAGCCGTTTATGGCAAGCCGTTCAGGAAATTTATATATTGAACAAAGTCTGAATATATGGAATGAAACTTTAAATATATGGAATGAAGTCTGAATATATTGAATGCAATGATTGTTGAACATTACTACTCATAAGCAGTAAAAGTGTTCCAATAATTGAACTATGATCTTTTTTTTACATAACAAATAGCCTGCACACAATATACAGTATATATATATATATCCCCTTTTTACCACTAGATGTCGACAATGTGTGGTTTCTCCTCTAATGCACACATTGATTAGATGGTTTACAGTCTGTGAATATCTGCCAAAGCCTGAGGAGGTGATAGGTCTAATGTGAGTGATATCAGTCCAGATGGGGAGTCATTAAACTCTTGTTTTGTTCTGGCTGAAGAAGCATGATTGTAAAGTAAGAAAACAGCCACCTTTAACAGATTAATGTCACTGATCCAATCACTAGAATGACCATAAGTAAACCTCGCTGAAGGATTTATTCTGATGGTTTTGGCGCGGTCACTACACTGACACCAGGCAGGACAGTAAATTCAAAGTGATTCAAGTTGCAGCTTTGCAGAGGGCTCTAAAATATCTTACATATTTCTTTCAACTCCCAACTTCCACTCCCTGTTTCACTATCATAATAATCACATTTTTTTTTACCTGCGATTAGATTAAAACAAACATCTCAACTAAAACACAGATTTATAGTTATTTATATAAGTTCCTAACTAACTTGTTGTATCGCCTGCAACAAGGGAATCCCGCTTTCTCACAAACTAGAAAAGTAGCAGCTGCTCCACAGTAAAGAAATCATTAAAAGTTTTCAGCTTGAGGATATAACAAAAGTTTGTGAAAGGTGAAGACATTAGAGCTTAGCTTTATATCAAACAGCTGCTTCTGTCATTTCCTTTTCTCAAACCAGAAGCTGTTCTTGTGATTTTCTAATGAAACAGAAGTGGACACATGTGGTCAATTATAAACATAATTTGTTGTGTTGAGTGAATGTGATCACACGCCAGATTTGTTCATAGATATTCAGCATACAGCCAAGCTTGGATTAAGTGTAACTCCATCACGGATACCTCCAGCAAACGAGTTTTATGTTTATTTTCATGTTGCTGTAACGATTTTGAGAGTTAAATTATTGAAATTCAATTTACTTTTTCATCCACTTTGTGTTGATTGTGTGCTTACATTTTTTTACCCTTCTGACTTCTGTTGTATTTGCGTATTTGTTAAAGTCTTTCTATGTGATTTTTCACACTTAAATGTAGAAATCAAGTTTATCCTCTGAAAATAACTCTGTGAGTCATGACTGTCTACAATGGGTGTAACACCCGAGTCCCACTGTCTGTGATGTTTTCAGAGTTTTCAGAGTCCTATCTTCACTTTGTTTACATCGCCTGGACGGCCGGCTGACTCCTCCCCTCGTGTATAAAAGTTGTTTAATTGAGGGACTAGAGAAAAGAAGAATAACATACTGTACTCACTGCTTAACTGTGTTTCTAGATCACGCTCATTTCAGGTAAATTTACATGCAGTGTGAAGATACCAGCATAATAAAGATCGCTAGCATTAGCATGCTAACACAACAATGCAGCGAGAGTTGTTTTGGTTTCATGCTGGTGCTCAAGGGCGACATCTGCTGGATCAAAAAATCACACAAAGACTTTAATGAATTCTTTGCATCTGTTCTTTGTCGCTAAAAATGTTTCACCTATAGTCCAACACACCAATCACATCAGGGCATTTGTACTGATCTTAATGTGGATTATGCTCACTGAAGTCAGCGCTC